TTTTTTTTTTTTTTTTTTTGGTACTGGGGATCGAACTTGGGTCCTTGAGCTTGCAAGGCAGGCGGTGGAACTACTGAGCTCTTCTTTTAATCTTTTATTCTATTATTGTTATTATTATTGTTGTTGTTGCTGTTGTTGATTTTATTATTTCGAGACAGAGGTTTTCAGTGTAACCCAGGCTGTCCTCAAACTGGTAGCGATCCTCCTGCCTCAGCTTCCCAGCCTCAGTGCTGCGACTATAGCCATGGCCTGTCTCCACTGGCTCCTTTGCGCACTCTTGTTATTTACTTTCCATAAATCTGATTCTTGCTGCTCTTTCTGAGTTTCCTGCTCACTTCTTCATTCAGGACACCAAGAAACAACCCCAAGACCCAACCCCTCCAATAACAATGGATTCGAGGGAAAGCAGGGCAGCAGAGAAAGCCCATGGGGTGCAGAGGGAGGAGGGCAGCATGGAGTCTGAAGGTGCCCGGCCCCCAAGGTGTCTGCTCCAGGCCCCACCCAGGTCTGTGCCAGCCCAGGGGTCCCCCGCCAGCCCCCGAAGCTCCGTACCTTGATCCCCGGGAAGGTGATGGCAGAGGAGGCATAGGAGCCAATCATGAGGGCCATGAAAGTGGAGCGCAGGTTCCCGAACATGTTGGGCAGCTGCGGAGGAAGCAGCAGTGAGCAGCCCCCAGCGCCGCCCGGACGCCCCTCTCCCTGGGAAAGCCTGCGGTCTGAGTAAGTGCCGGCCAGGAGTCCCAGCAGAGAAGCCGCCAGGAAACCCTGATGAGGGATGAGGTTCTGCCCCTCCAACACCCCTGAGAAAGATGCTCGTTCCCACTGTTTCGTCCGAGGGCCGTCCATCCAGGTGAGTTGCTTATGGAACCACGTTACTTTCTGGGGATCCTGGGGACCGAACCCGGGGTCCCCTGCAAGCACTCTACAGAGGGGCCCCAGTCCCAGCGTTCCCTGGTCATGTGATGCCCCCGAACGCCACACTCAGCAGGCACAGAGGACTCCGATGTGTCCAGTGCCAACCGTGTCACAGACGAGGAACCCGTGGCCCAGCGGGGAAGACGCTGTCTTCCAGTGAAGCGTCAGCCTGGAAGACTTGCTCCCTTCCAGGCCCCACCAGGACTGCCCTGACCCTCTCGGTGGCCCCAAGCCCAGAGCCCACAGTTCCTAGGGAACCAGGACAGATCCTGCACGGGCCGGGAGGGGACCCAAGGCCACTGCACCTCATGGCGGGCGGAACCTCAGACATCACACCGAGCTTGGCCCTGCCAGGGGAAACTGAGGCTCAGGAGAGAACGCGCACAGCTCTCGGGGGCAAGGTGACTAAACACAGATCAGAGGCAGTGACCCCTGGGCGGCGGTTCTGCCTGGCCCTCTCTGCCAGGCCCATGGCCGAGGACTCCAGGGAAGAGTGCCAGGCCCGGGGCCCTGAACCAGGCATTCGAGGGCGCTGTCTCAGCCCAGCACTGTGGAGAAGGCAAGGCTGGCCCCGCTAACAGTGGGCTGACCCAGACTGGTGTGCCAGGAGTGTGGTGGGTAGCGGGTGGCATCCACCCCCACCCTGTGCCGCCGAGTACTAATGGACCGCACAGCTATTGGAGCAATGTGGGGGCGGGGCCAGCGAGAGGTGGGGCGAGCGGGGCGAGCGTCCGGCCTTACCATTGGCTAGAGTTCACAGCCCACCAGGTGGGGGTGTCACAGGGGTGGGGCCTCTGAGGGGTGGGGTGGGATGGGGCCGCCATCTAGCCTTACCATTGGTTGAAAATTACAGCCCCGGGTGGAGCTGGCCGTGGGCGTGGCCTGAGAGAGGTGGGCGTGGTCAGAGGGCGGGGTGGGGCGGGACCACCACGGAGCCCTATGGTTGGCTGGAGATTACAGTGGTGGGCGGAGCCGCCGCAGCAGCAACAGGGCAGGGTCAGAGGTCAAGCCTCAAGAGAGGGAGAAAGGATTTGGGGAGCTGAGCCAAGTTACATAGCCCGAGGCAGCCGCGGAGAGGGGCGGTGGGAGGAGCTGCTTCCTTGGAGTTGTGAAATGTCCCCAGCTGGAGTGAAAGGATGCTGCTGGGGTGAGGAGATTCAGCCAAAGGGCCAGTTTGGCCGCATCAGAGATAAACGACGCTGAGCGAGCGGGCAGGGACCGTCCTCCCCCAGCCTGCGCCCTAGGCTGTAACCCTTACACTCGCGCGTGAGCACGCCAGACACACTCACACCTGGGCGGGTCCCTAGGCGCAGGGCCCGAGCCCGCAGGGCCGCACCCACTCTCCGGTTCTCTCCGCACCTAGGGACCACTGCCACGCCTGTGCTCCCCACCCAAACGACGGCCCTGGAAGGTGAGTCCCGGGCCTGCAGAGCTCCTCGGACACGCACGGGCTCAGCGTGTGGGAGCCAGCGCAC